CACTATATGTTCACACAGCATTCCTTTGTATTTGTTTTGGAGCAGAATTACACACCAGGGATGCATCAATACCCTTTTTTTCATAATTAAGTATCGAAATAAATTTTTTGGGGTATTCGCCGATACCGAACACCAATACCGGAAGTCCCATTAAGGAAGCCGGGCAGCGTGAAATGACTTGCCGCCCGGCTTCCTGATTAGCCGGGAAGCCGTTTCCATGCTCCCTCGTCGCCAGGTGATGAGGAAGCATAAAGCCATCTTTCTGGCCAATCAGGAAGCTGGGGGGCCGTTATTGACTTGCCACCCGGCTTCCTGATTGGCCAGCTTTCCGACTAATCAGGAAGCTGGACGGGGATTCATTACATACTGCCTGGCTTCCTTATTGGTCAGGAAGCTCCGTGCTCCCTCGTCACCAAGTGCCAATCAGGAAGCCTAACAGCGTGTAATGACTCAACGCCCGGCTTCCGGAAGTTCTGGTATCGGGATAGGCATCGGGAGCATTTGTGCGAGTACTCACCCAAATACTTAGCGGCACCGATACTAGTATCGGTATATCCCTATTACACACAATACCCTATACCCTTGCTTGAAGTTGTTCAGAATAACTTGGAAGAGACTCTAGAAATTGAAAGTGAATTAACATATAATGTACCACTCAAGCCTTGAGATCTTTAACCCTTTGTTAGGACAGACAGTGCCGCACAGTACAGGCAGAGTTAATTATGGTAAAGCTAACTTCCCAGCTCCTTCCTTACCATTACGCAGAAGGGGTAAGCCAAGTGCTGCAAGAGTGGAAGGACACTTTAAGTGAACCTTGCCTGAAAAGAAATAAAACAAGCAAACATTGTAAGTATAAAAGTAATGCATATGTTGTGCGGCTTGGAGCTTCATCGAAACCACTTTAAAAAAAAAAGAATCAAACTCAAAGTTCGTGCCTCTTGCTGCACATACATAACTCGAGTTCCAGCTCACAGCTTCTGGTTGGTGAAGAATGACTTTGCAGCTTCGCAGACTGGATTGACGCACATCGGGCAACGCAGAGTTAACTGCCTTGAACAGGTCTCGTTGGACTTGAGATGCGAAAGGACTAAATCGGCCAGAGCCTGGAGAAAAGAAAAAAAAAAGGGAAAAGGCCAAATTGGTGAAAAGAAAACCGATGAAATGTAAACATTGTTGCACACAAGAAGATATTGGCGACGATCAAGCATAAAGCAAAAACTAAGGCAAACGTCTAACTTTTCCCCGATCGATCCCTCCGTGCTGTTTTCCATCACTCAATCCGCCAGCACCCCCTGGGAAGACGGACTCTACAAAAGGAAACCTTGCGACTTTAAACCCAACAGGCTGCCTCCTTCAATTCTTCAAGGTGTGTATAGTCTCCATGCAAAGTCTGGCAATGTTTATCCTAGCTAGACTTCTCCCCCACTTAAAAAGAATGGATTTTTCACACTGTTGCCGCAGTTAGAACGAAGAACCAATAATCACCGGCCTGCAGTCAATAGCATTAAAGCTGGTTTAACAATACTGATACCTTGGAGAACAATGGATTTCCATTAAGGGATTCCGATCGTCTGATGTTCTCAACTCCGCACTGAAACAGAGGAAGAGAGAGAAGAATGACTCCGGCTCCCGCCGATCGTTGCGCACACGGCAGAACACAAGGCTTATTAAATGGATTATTTATTATGTAAAAATGCTGCAACAATGCAAGGAAATGTATAGCTAATTTTCAGACCCCGTCGATGTGCCTTGGCTCCTCTGCGGGGGATTTCTCTTTGACAACAAAGAAGTTGTTTGAAAGTTTTCAAGAACTGATTAAGTCTTGTGGCTTTCCTTGCAAAGTTTTATTTTCTTCTTTTCTTTTTTATTTGCATGTATAGAAATAGAAAGATTTTGCAAAAGTCAAGCTAGCGACGCTTCCAAAAACTTTCAGCTGGCACCCATCATTGGGAAACTCTTGCATTTTGGTAGCTAGGGCTGAAGCTCCATCACTGAACCCTGTAGGCAAACTACCACACGTAAAACCACCCGCTGTTAGGCCTCATTCACACAGCGAAGAGTGGGGCGTGCATGTCCATATCGGGCCGCTCCCGGGAGGGACAGGTGCTGCGTGTGATTGTACACATCTTCTTCCCTATGGGAGGGCGCGGCCGTACTCCCATCATACGCTCACCCGAGATGCACATTTGTGCGGGTGTCCGTGCTCAGACGCAGACAGGATCCATCCTGTCTGAGTACGGACACCCGCACAGATGTGCAGCTCGGGTGAGCGTATGATGGCGTATGGGCTAGTTCACACTCAGCTTTAAAGAATTTCTGAAACAACATGTTACAGCTAATACAATATTTTTGGCGATTAGTCTTAGGTCTACTTTAAAGTTACTCTGTCAGTGGATATAAAAACTATATAAAAGAAACAATGCCCTGTGGAAGGAGAAGTTTTATGCATGCATGTCCAGCTTGCAGTTTCTTAAAGAGCTCTGGGCCCTACCTCTATCCTACATTTCCAGGTGCGTCAAATAGTGGAGTTCCCTGCTCGCCACTGTGGTTCCTCCCGCCATACTCTATGTCACTACTGCGTCTTGTATAGGGGTTGCAGGAGGAACAACAGCCGCTAACAGGGATGCACCGCTTGAACAAACCTGGAAGTGTCAGATAGTACCAGACCCAGGGGTCTCCAAGAGAGCAGATTCAACCCACTGACCATCAGACAGATAAGTATAAAGTATAAAGGGCTGTCTTTCACGTGGGGCAAAAGGGGCAGTTGCCCTGGGCCCATTCATTGTTGTTGGGCCCAAAGAGCCAGCAAAAGATGCACATGCCGTATACACATGTTACTATGTGAACAGCATTGCATGGTGTTGCTCCACCCCTTCGGTACGCCAAGTGATGTCCCATGCGGGAGTCACGTCTCCTTCCGGCGTCTTCTCCTATCAGCTCTGCAGGAGGAGGACGTTGTGCGAAATTGCATCGTGGGGGTGTGGTGGGTAGGGGGCCGTGCTTGGCAGGTGGGGGAGGGATCTTCAAGAAAATGTTTGCCCAGGGTCCAATCAATATTAAAAGATGGCCCTGTATAAAGCGTCTTGATGCTGTACGTTTTTACACCACCTGACAGCTTGAAAAGTAAAAATGTAACGTTATACGTTTGCTGGATATATTAAACAGGTTAATGTGCTTTAAAGAAGAAATCCGGGCAGAATAAAACTTAACCCTTGCAGTGGGCGCCAAGCAGTGGAATGTCCTTTGGCATCCTCACATCTAATGTAATGTATTAGATGTGATGACCCAAAGGTCACTAGATTGCTGGAGCGGAGGGGGAGAGAGGCTGTGGGGACTGCAATGACTGCTTGAACGTTGTCATTGGTCTGTTCCCTGGGGTTGGGATAATATGATCTTTGCCCGGGATAAGGAAGAGTGAGAAGAAGAATATGATTAATATATACACCCTCTTTGTTTGAGATTACACCCCCAGGATCCTTTCAGATGATCATACCTCGTTTGCAAGATGCTCGGCGTACTCTATATCAAGTTCATACAGCGTCTCAATGTGATCACTGGTGAAGGCAATAGGGACCAACAGGAGGTTCTTCTTTCCTTTCTGGCAGAGGCCTTTAATGGTTTCATCAGTATGAGGTCCCAACCAGGGCATGGGACCAACCTGAAACAGACAATAAAGAGATGCCACAGCAGATCAATCTGTTAGTCAACTGTGAAAAGAAGAACTCTATGAGATAATCTAATAAACAAAATTAGGTTTTCATAGATTAAACAATAACTCTTAGTAGAGTTCAAGGAATAAAGTGATAATACATATTTAGAAGGCATAGTTCCATCAAGTCTTGCAGTGCAATCTTTGCAGAGCCTTCACTCATAGGCCACAATGGTGAAAGAGGACATCTCAAATCTCTGTCTATTACTGGCCTGTGTTGATGAGCCTCGGGCTTGTGTGGATGGACAAAATATAACCTGCTTTTGGACATCAGTTTGAGACACTCCTGAGATCATTCAGAATTCATTACCAGGTGCATCGGACCTGCGGTGGACGGCTACGGACCTGCGGTGGACGGCTACGGACCTGCATTAAGCTGCTTTTGCATTCCCTTAGACTTGCATGGAGAAAGAAGTGGTTTTCCTGTAAATAAAAGGCCAACTGCCACACGCCCTGATTGTTCTAAACCAACTGCACTGTTGGTCCTCTACTTTCTGTCTTTCATATTTGTCACCTAAAGAGGACATTCTTACAACACAGTCCTCCTATCAGAGTTTACCTCTTCTAACCTCTGAAAGGGCTCATGCACACCAGGTGTATTGCAGGGTAACTAGGTGTATTTTCATACAGTGAAGACCCTGAACTCAGGTGAATGACTGAAAACATACACACACACAAGATGGTGAAGGCATTTGCAGGCATACTTTATGCTGTATGAAATCAAGCCTGTATTTGCTCTGCAATACCCCCATGTGCATAAGCCCTAACCTGATCTAGTTAAAGGTCTTTGTTGGTCCTTACCAGTCATGCTCTTATTTATTGGTATTGGCAATGCATTTTTCCTAATGGGAAATTCCACTTTACCAGGCAAATTTAGGTAAATGGAATTACCCCCACCACTCTGCTCCCCCCATCACTGCTCCTACCTTTGAATGAACGCCAAGAAGCATGCACTTCTCATTGGTCAACATGGGCAGGTGACTGTGCTGATCAATGAATGCTCTCCATTTGCAAGGGCAATCTTAAATACTTAGTGCAGGGCTGCGATGTTGTGTACGGTGTAGTGACCATAGATCGGGAGTCATGGAGGGGAAGCAGTCAACAGTCAAAGGTAAGAGCAGCGGGAGGGGGGAGAGGGAGCAGATTGGTGGGGGCATTTCCATTTACCCAAATGGAATGACCCTTTAAGTCTTCTGATAGCCCTGCCTAAGTACAAAGTCATCTGCTAGTAACGCTGTTTATCAGAAATTACCTTGCCGAGTTATTAAGAATATGCCCGTCTCCTGTGACCTCCGAGCTAAGCCACGTCATCTATCATCAATTCATGTGCAGAGTGCTTCAGTGAAAAGAGATCACTTATATAGGACATGGCAGTTAGTATGGCTTAGTCTTGACCTCAAGAAAACCACCCCACTAGCAGCAAAGTGAAACTAGTTTCAGAAAGGCACACAGAAGAGTTTCTGTCTAAGAAAAATCATAGCTGTTAGCTAATAGCTGCTTCTGCTGTTTGCAGGAATTAAACATTTAATCATTCAAAATGGCAGATTCACGTTAAACTGACACTAAACTCAGCAGTCAAGTACCCTAACAATTTATATAATTTGTGTGTCACTCGGCTGTAGATCCTCAAATCCTCTCTGATTTGGTGCTGATACTGTCCTTCCTTCTGGAGGGGGGATACTTTGGTTCCCCATGGTCCCTGTGTGTGTTGTAAAGTAGTCACCGCTCCAAGCTCACTCCTGTGATGGACTACAATCTCAATACAACTTAGTAAATTAAACATGAGATTGTCCAATCAATGAAAGAGGGATGTACATTAGCAATGGGTGACCATGCGTGCTTACAGGGGACTTTGCTCTATTGATGGACAAGACAACAGTGATGTAAATACAGTGGTACCTCAGTACCTCGTCACCGGATGCGGAGTTCGCGAACGGAAGCAAAATTTTGCCGAACTTCCTGTTCGCGCACAGAAGCGTTGGTGAACTGAGTAACCACTGAATACATGGTCACATCGGGCTGTATCAGAAAAAGGAAGAAGCCCGATGGCTGCTAAAGGAAACACAACACTCCTAATATCCAGGAAAACATTCTCATTAGAGATCACAGACATTCCTTCCTGCATTCCCCTCTGTCTGCAGGTTACAGAAAGAATACAATGTGTTCGATGGGCTTTGTTCTTTGTCCATTTAGAGGCTTTAAAACAAACAGGATTTATATCCCTTGTGAGAGATTTGAGCAGCTTTGTAACTCATGCTTAATCTAAAGCACATGCAATATCATTAGTACTACATATAGACAATAAGAGTTTCTACTGCTCAATATAATGCATAAAACACCAGTATAGATTGCTTGGGTGCTGGGATTGTGACCAACTAAAGATCTGCATTGAGTATGCGCCGCGTGTGTGCACATTTTCTCCAGTTTCCACCTGCAATCCTATCACTTCTACAGGCTTACTGAACTAAGCAGGGAATGAAGGTGCTCCATCCACCTTCCCGTTTCTTTAATTAAACCCCTTTAGCTGACACTAAGTATAATACGTACAGTGGCAAGCAAAGAAGGGAAAGGGGGAATAAGATTGAAACCTTAAATACATTAAGGCCTTGTTCACATGGATAGCAGAGGGATGGTAAAAACTTGGGATGCACCGATACCGTTTTTTCGGTATAGAGTACCGATACTGGTACTTCCGGTAGCATAGAGCCGGCTTCCCGGGCATTCAGGGAGCCAGGCGGCGTGCCATTACCCACCAACCGGCTTCTTGATTACCCGGGAAGCCGACTCCATTCTGTTTGGCTGGCTCGATGCTGATTGGCCGGGAAGCCGGCTTCCCAGCCAAATCGGCATCTGCCCACAAGATCTGCCCACGTCTGTGTGTACAGCGCCCACGTGATCGGCCCTCAGCCTGCTACTGCGCAGACTGCCCAGAGCTCTCATTCAGAAATCCTGTGCATGAGCAGTAGCAGGCTGAGGGCCGATCACGTGGGCGCTGTACACACAGGAGACGTGGGCAGATACGGGAGAGCTTGGAGGAGCGGTGTCTGCCCAGCTGGCCGAGGGACTGGTACGGTAATGACTGCTGCTAAGGATCTATGCGAGGGGAATGATTTGTCTGCAGGGTGGGGGTCGTGTCGCCATATCAGATTTGTTTGCCCGGCTCGACACCGATTGGCTTGGAAGCCTGCCAAACAGCATGGAGCCAGCTTCCCGGCTCCATGTTCCCTTGCGGCACTGCCGATCAGAGGAAATCTCCCGCTGACCGGAAGTTTTAGTATCGGGAAAGGTATCGGAGCATTTGGGCGAGTACGAGTACAGGGAATATTAGTATCGGTGCATCCCTAGTAAAACGCAGATAAACTTTCTGTCTTTACCGTCCCTCCACTGCCCATGTGAATGAGGCCTTATTGCGTTAAAGTTTTCAATCTTATCCCCTCCTTTCTCTTTTGTCACTTACCTCATCCAACCGCCCACCTAAAACGTAATATAGACGCTGCTCATGCTTGAACACATTCCGGCTGCAGCAAATTTTTTAAGCAGCACGTCACTTTGGCAGGTGCTCCCACTTGCCTAACACGACCATTGCAATCAATGGGACCGCACCGCAACCACATATCCAGGCATGCAGTTGCAGCTCAGTATTGCGATAGACATTCCCCATTGAGTTAAAAAAGAGTGGGTTCAGGAGGTGGCCATATCTCCTTCGGATTGCTGGGTAGCCGATGGTCTACCGCCCTCTGAAAAAAAATTACACCGTGCAAGGCTTTTCAGAGTAGTAGCGCCGTCTGTGTGAATGAGGCCTAAGAGTGTTAATCAGGTTCAGGAAGTCACCATTTTCAATATAAAGCTAAGATCAAGACATGACCTCAAACTAGCAGGAGGAAAGGTCAAGGGTAACGTTAAAAAGGTATTATTTTACCGAAAGAGTAGTAGATACTTGGAAGAGACAACAGGCAGTGGGTCAGTCAACAGTAAGTCAACACAGGTGTATACTCATATAAAAACAAAAAGGTGGGGGGCAGATTAGATGGGTCACCTTTTCTTTTTCTGCCATTGCTCTTCTTTGTTTCTGATACAGGACAGTTTACTGAGTGCAATGTCTACTATTCTGATCTACACACAAGAAGAACTTTAAATCAAGACGTACCTTGTGTGCTACTAACGGCCTAAATATCCATCAGATATTTTTATTTCTTCCAAGTTGCACATCCAAAAAAAAAAAGAGCACACAGACAAAACGTATTCAACTTTTACATACGTGTTACTGAACTTTGTATTCATATATGATAAGTTGGTACAACTTATCAATCTCTAAAACTATTCTAAAAGAACATTTAATTTAAAATAATCTCATATAAATATCGGAGCTCATTTCAAACAATCAGATATTTTGTCTTATTGGAGGACATTTTGCCTAATGCCCCTTTCCCCACTACTGGAATGCATGCTTTTGCTGCATGCCTAGAGTTGTAGTTCATGTAGCTTGGCAGGTAGTTTCTTGTACTGAAGCACACAGTTCTTCTCTTTCAGCCATGAGACGTACCTTGGATTGCCAGACCAGCCTGTAGGGGTTGCAAAAATTAAGTTTCTCCATTACTCTCTGCACCGTGGCTCCCACTTCCTGGGGGTACGGGTCTCCTCGATTTACAACCTGCAATAAAAAGGAAAAGCAGAATGTGTAAGGCGACAGAGGAAATGTCCGTTCTCATGCAATTACTGCAGAGTTCTGTGTAAATATTGCTATATATGCACACACTATAAAAAAGGCACAAAGAGGGGTAAGTTAAGGCTCTCACATTTCAGCACCATAAGGAAGAGTGCGGAACGCAATTGGATTAACAGCTTGTATGGG